CCTCTCCTCCCAAAAATGGCGGCAGAGGTATGATTGCCAAAAGAGATATCTATCATAATTGTTGCTGACATAGATAATGGCACTAATAAGGACTTGTGGGTTCAATGAAGAGCTGTAAATATGGCCCCATCATTGCAATTTGGAAAAGTAAAGCCCAGGTTCATGACCGACCCTAATCTCTCCTTATGCAGTATGTTCTGCCTCCTGATTATCCCCCTAAAGCAGATTTAATACATTGCCACGTTAGCTGTTCTGAGATCCCCTTCTACAGGGGGAGGATGGCCAAAAATCCCCACATTGGCCTGTTCTGTGCTTTGACAAGATCTTGACACTGGACTGGAGACTTCTCTCCTCCCTAAGCTCTTTGAACTCTCCAAACTCCACAACCCAATTCAAGAATCCAAAAACCGACATAAGGCTCTCAGTTTTGGCATTCTTGAACTGGGTTGTGGAGTTTGGAGAGTTCAAAGAGCTTAGGGAGGAGAGAAGTCTCCAGTCCAGTGTCAAGGTCTTGCCAAAGCACAGAACAGGCCAATGTTGGGATTTTTGGCCATCCTCCCCCTGTAGAAGGGGATCTCAGAACAGCTAACGTGGCAATGTATTAAATCTGCTTTAGGGGGATAATGCCAGGGCCTCCCGCTGTCACAATATGTCTCAACAAACTTGTGCTATCCATACATTTCTATAACTTTTAACAGGTGATTTGCAGAGTTTTGAGTACTGGAAAAAGTCCCATACAGGGGTGGACTGACCATTTGGGAACTCGGGCACTGCCCGAGGACCCGGGGTCAGTAGGGGGCCCCATGAGATGCCCCTGGTACCTTTTGTAGGCTTTTTTGGGTGTGGTTTGGGCGAGTTTTGGGCGAGGACACAGGGGCCCCCCCCCCCCCCCCCGCCCCCCCCCCCCCCCGATGATCCCCTATTGCCGGGGGCCCCTGTGCTCAAAAGCCCAAGTGCAAGAGCCATTTGTGCACCCAATTGTTAGATCAAACAGACCTATAGAGCTTTTCATTAGGCTTGGAAAAAAAATCTTGTTTTGATTTCACAGAGATCACTCCTCCGATGATGACATCTCCATCCCGGAAATATTGGAATTCATCAAATGTGTCGGTAAAGTTGAGAGTACAGGCCGGACTCCGCGTCTCCGACCTCCAGGGTGTCGTACATTGGAGGATAAAACAGAATAAAATGAAGTAAGGATGAGAAGAAACCATAGTTGTGATCACTTCTTCTGTCATTACAGTGACATCTCTGTCATATATCCCACATGTCTATATCATACGTGACACCACGGCGGGGCGTGTATCCCAGTGACAATGCAATGAGCAGACTCCTCTCCCCTCTCTTTATAGGGATCGGGTGATCCGTCTCTCATTGTTCTCAGTATGGTGGCATCATCCTCCTTCTACTTTAAGCTGTTTGTACCGGTAGTTTATTTTTAGAGGACTGAATATACTGTACAAGGTTTGTGTTGTCTTTTTTACAGTTGTCAAGATACACGTTCTTTAAAAAACATCACAATCTAAAAGGTAAAACAATAACGTCTGTCTCCAAAAAGACACATGCAAAGCTACCAGATGATACAAAATGATTCTTCCATGCGGGGCCAGATCTAGGGGGGTGCTGGGGTGGGCTGTGCCCCCCCAGATTTTGCTTGTGCCCCCCAGATCTCTGAGAGCGTATCCACTGATCTATGAGCCAGTTTGATGCAGAAGGTTTATGTAAGGGGGCACCTGATGTAAGGGGGCACTCTGATGGGGGCACCTGATGTAAGAGGGCACTCTCATGGGGACTGCTGATGTAAGGGGGCACTCTCATGGGGACTGCTGATGTAAGGGGGCAATCTGATGGGGACAGTTGATGTAAGGGGGCACTCTGATGGGGACAGTTGATGTAAGGGGGCACTCTGATGGGGGCACCTGATGTAAGGGTGCACTCTGATGGGGACAGTTGATGTAAGGGGGCACTCTGATGGGGACAGTTGATGTAAGGGGCACTCTGATGGGGTCAGTTGATGTAAGGGTGCACTCTGATGGGGTCAGTTGATGTAAGGGGCTGATAACTGAAGTAAGGAGGCACTTTGATAGGGATAACTGATCATATGTGAGGGGACATTCTTATGAGGACAATTGATTCAAGGATGGGCTCTGTTAGGGACACATGTAAGGGGGCACTCTGATGGTGACACCTGATGTACAGGGGGCACTGTGATGGGGATACTGATGTAAGGGGGCACTCTGATGGTGACACCTGATGTACAGGGGCACACTGATGGGGACACTTGATGAAAGGGGGACTCTGATAAGTAGTCATGATGCAGAGAAGGACTCTGAGGACTCCTAATGTAAACGGGGTCTCTGATTGGACATCTCATATAAGGGAGCACAGGTTTTGTTTAATCACCGTAATCTAATGACAATCTAATACATACTAGTGTTTCCCAGGTCATAACAGACTGTCAGTCACTCACACACACATAGTGTTGACATTATGCCCCCTGACTTTTTTTATTGCACCCCCTAAATCAGATAGGCTAGATCCAGCCCTGCTTCCGTGTATAAGAAATGAAAGTGAATTGTTCATATGATTGCTTGATTATCATATAGCCCAACTGAAGCCTTTTTTTTTATATATACAATATATTTTATTGCATTTTCCAAAGCAAAAGTTACAGAGTAAACATAAAAATTTTACTTTTTTTTTTTCCTGAGAACAGTAGGAAAAAAAGACAATGAACATATCTGTGAGTCATGAAGATCATTACAAGAGCAGAATCTGTATTGTATCCGAGAACATGAAAATAACAATAGTAGTAGAATTACATTGTACAGCGTAGTGATATTGCATTCATAGCTTCAATCTGCAAGGAATCTCGAACAATGTCACCATATACAGGTGCAATTTGAGCTGGTAAAGTTAGAAACTGTTAGCTAGTAATCCAAATACAAGGATACATATGACACAATATTATCTGAAACCGTGTACACAGGAGGATGATGGGGCGCCCTTCAATACTTCCTATTCAGCCAGTGGTCAGCCTGTCATAGACGCCAGACAGTTGGAAAAGGAACCAAGCGATCTATATCTTATGAAATTGCTCAGATTGGTCGTGTGCCATCACCAAGGTTTCCTCAAGGTTATGGATATGGTCAATCATACGTATCCATTCACCAGGGATGGACTGACAACACATGGGGCCCCTGGGCAATAGGTAATCATGGGGCCCATGTGTCCTCACCTACACTCAAACCACACCCCAAAAAGCCTATGAAAGGTACCAGGGGCATCTCATGGGGCCCCCTACTGACCCCCGGGTCCTCGGGCAGTGCCGAGTTCCCAAATGGTCAGTCCACCCTTCCCAGTCACTGATTGTGGGTACGGTAGTCGATTTTCATTTTCTGGGAAGTAGACTTAGCTGCATTTAACCACTTCCAGTCCGGACACTTTCCCCCCCTTCCAATCCGGACACGTTCACCCCCTTCCAATCCGGACACGTTCACCCCCTTCCAATCCGGACACGTTCCCCCTTCCAATCCGGACACTCCCCCCCCCTTCCAGTCCGGACACTTCCCCCCCCCCCTTCCAGTCCGGACACTTTCCCCCCTTCCAGTCCGGACACTTTCCCCCCCTTCCAGTCCAGACACTTTCACCCCCTTCCAGTCCGGACACTTTCCCCCCCCTTCCAGTCCGGACACTTTCCCCCCCTTCCAGTCCGGACACTTTCCCCCCCTTCCAATCCGGACACTTTCACCCCCTTCCAACCCGAACACTCCCCCCCCCCCCTTCCAGTCCGGACACTTTCCCCCCCCTTCCAGTCCGGACGCTTTCCCCCCCCCCTTCCAGTCCGGACACTTTCCCCCCTTCCAGTCCGGACACTTTCCCCCCCTTCCAGTCCGGACACTTTCACCCCCTTCCAGTCCGGACACTTTCCCCCCCTTCCAGTCCGGACACTTTCACCCCCTTCCAGTCCGGACACTTTCCCCCCCTTCCAGTCCGGACACTTTCCCCCCCTTCCAGTCCGGACGCTTTCACCCCCTTCCAGTCCAGACACTTCCCCCCCCTTCCAGTCCGGACGCTTTCACCCCTTCCAGTCCGGACGCTTTCCCCTCCTTCCAGTCCGGACACTTTCCCCCCCCTTCCAGTCCGGACACTTTCCCCCCCTTCCAGTCCGGACACTTTCCCCCCCTTCCAGTCCGGACACTTTCCCCCCCCTTCCAGTCCGGACACTTTCCCCCCCTTCCAGTCCGGACACTTTCCCCCCCTTCCAGTCCAAACACACTGCAGGCAATGGATACCTGATTGTTCACATTATGATAATATATTGAAGCAAACCACTAAGGTCGAGGCACCCCGACAACATATTGTGGACCCAGGATTTAACCACTTCCAGTCTGGACACTTTCCTCCCCTTCCAGTCCGGACACTTTCACCACCTTCCAGTCCGGACACTTTCACCCCCTTCCTGTCCAGTCCAGGCCAATTTTCAGCTTTCAGCGCTATCACACTTTAAATGACAATTGCGCGGTCATGCAACACTGTACCCATATGAATTTTTTAGCATTATTTTGAGACAGATAAAGCTTTATTTTGGTGGTATTTATTCACCGCTGGGATTTTTATTTTTTTAGCTATGTAAATGAAAAAGTCAAAAAAATTTTGAAAAAAAAAGTGTTTTTTTTCTTATAAAATTTTGCAAATAAATAATATTTCATCATAAATCTTGGCCAACATTTATTCAGTTATCTTTTTAGTAAAAAATAAATAATCCAAATTAGTTTACAACCAAAAATTATAATTTTTAAACATTTTGTTTTTATTTTATATTATTATGGTTTTTTTTTTTTGCATACTGTCACCCTAGCAGTACAGTGTCACCATGGTGACACTGTACTACTTGTGGGGGGTGATGAAGATTTTTTTTTTTTTACACTGATTGCTTTTACACCCATAAAGTCTGTAAAAGGAATCATTTCTCCTTCTCTCTGGCTGCATTCTTGCAGCCATTTAGAACTAATGTGTGAGCTGTGATTGGTCACAGCTTGTCACATGGTACAAGGCTGTTGTGAATGGCCCTGTACCATGTGAACTCTGTGATCATTGACACATTTCACACGTAGTAAGCAATGATATCAGAAGTGACATCTTGCTTACTACTCTGCATGTGATCACTGATTGGCCAATGTGTAGATAAGCAGTGGTAGATTTGTCGCTACGTCCAAAAGGACAAGCCGGTCGACTTAAGGTCACCCACTAATCTGCCATACGGGACCACCCGTCCCACACGCACACAATGCATAGCCAGTAAAGGTGACCCATCAGAGGTAATAGGTATCGCTCTGGTATCCATTCCCCGGGGGAAGTCCGGATTGTTAACTAAAGGAGTAAGTGGACCCGGTGATTTCAAAAACGACGTATTTTGTGGAGCCCAATGAAATGCCGCCAAAGATGCCCCAATCAGGGGATGAACCTTAAGATCCACTAGACAGGCAGATCATGGAATCCAAGGCAAATAGCGTAGTGGGATTTTAGAGAACGTTTCCTTTAAGTGTATCCAATCTTTGTTAGAGCCATGGCAATGCCAATCTGCAATCCTTGTCAACTGTGCGGCACAATAATAATATCTAAAATTGGGAAATCCCAATCCTCCTCTATTTTTGGGGGCATCAGATATTGGAGACTAATTCTAGGTTTACTGTTAGTCCAGAGAAATTTTTTGTACCAACATTGCCAATCGTTGGAAAAAATTTGTAGGGATCCTTATCGGTAATGTCTGAAACTGGTAAAGATATTTTGGGAGAACTGTCATTTTAATTATAGCCGCACGCTCGAACCAGGAAAAACTTTTAAGGTTCCATGAAGAGAGGTCCCCATCAACTTTTTTCAAAAGAGGCAAAAAATTGACTTGGTAAATATCACTCACCTTGGGAGTCAGCCAGACCCAGTGGTGGACTGACCATTTGGAAACTCGGGCACTGCCCGAGGGCCCGGGGTCAGTAGGGGGCCCCATGAGATGCCCCTGGTACCTTTTTCATAGGCTTTTTTGAGTTTGGGCAAGGACACAGGGGCCCCATGATCCCCTATTGCCCAGGGGCCCCATGAGTTGTCAGTCCGCCCCTGGCCAGACCCCCAAATATTTTAAAGCCATGCACACCCATTTGAAGGAGTTGTTTTGCTGAGCCAGTGAGAGAGAGCCTGGGGAAAGGGTTATGTTTAAAGCTTCTGACTTTTTATAATTAATTTTTAGATTGGAGACATATCCATACTGAGCAAATGTGTGTAGCAAGTTAGGGATAGAAGTGTGCGGTTGTGTTAGTAAAAATAATAGGTCCTCCGATCCCACGCTTCCCCCTCTTATGTGCACAGATGGGAGATAGACCTTGGTTGTAGACTAGATCCATCTGACAGGGATCATATCTGATCCAACACTAAATCATCTTCGCAAAACGTAGTAGCCCTGGAAACTAACTATAAAGTCCTTACCCGCTGGTACTTGGTCCCAACGAGGATCACCAAATATACACCAAACTACTCCCCCAATTGTTTTCGAGGTTGTACGGAAGCGGGAACTCAATGTGGTGGACATGTCCGATAGCCAAAGCCTTCTGGGCCGACATTTTTTATATCTTATCTAGACTTTATACGAAAAAAAAAACACTTACGCCTGACCCGTTCATAGCCCTCCTTAACCAACCCCCCCCCCCCCCCCAAACATCACCAAATTACAATTGAAACTTCTTATGCAAATCACCACAGCTGCTAAGCAGATTTTAGCCAAATCATGGAAATCTCCCTCCCTAAGCCTAGTAGCAGTAAAGCACAAAGTCACACAGGCTATGACCCACTTGACCACGTACCCAGGGGCGGACTGACAGTTTAGAAACTCGGTACTGCCCGAGGGCCCGGGGTCAGTATGGGGCCCCATGAGATGCCTCTGGTACCTTTTTCATAGGCTTTTTTGAGTTTGGGCAAGGAAACAGGGGCCCCCATGATCCCCTATTGCCCGGGGGCCCCATGAGTTGTCAGTTCGCCCCTGCGCCTACCCCTGACCTTTCCACAAGTTTATCTTCCCCGATCCCTTTACCAGCTTCTGGGGAGCTCATCTCTATATCTATAACATACTTTGATCATATCTACCCATGTAGGACTATGTTTTCTCTCCTTCTCCCAAAACGTTATACTTATGTACCTGTGTTTTTCTCCCCACCTTTGTAAGGACACCGTTCCTACAGTAACCAACACCTCTCTTTACCTGTTTATGGAATGTCCATTTATTTTATCTGTTTCCAACCCCTGTTAAAACCATTCAAATTATTTGAACAAGAAAAAATAATAGGCTGCTATTTTATATTCCCTTTGTCCTATCTGATATCCTGTAATCTCTTGCGTTTGATTTATAGTGCGGATGAAGGGTTCTAGGGAGATAATAAAAAGTAAGGGTGACAATGGGCAACCCTGTCTTGTGCCATTTTTAATCTGCACAGGAGAAGACAAGGCCCCATTGATTTTAATACATGCTGATGGAACATGGTATAAAGAAACTATCCACGCCATCATATTGGGCTGTAACCTCCCTGGCGGTATTCCAGAGTGTAGCTCGGGGTAAAAGTTTCAGCACCACATAAAAAATAATAATATAATAATAATAAATGTAATTCAATAATATAATCAAACCAAAAACACTGAAATGTGAAATAGAGCGCCAAGTTCGCACATCGCTGAGCTCAGTCGCAGAATCGTTTTCAGTGTCTGATGAGGAATTTCCCCCACGAATCATTATCACTCAATTCTGCAAGTGGTTCTGATTTACTATCGCTGTTCTCTAGACGGTCTAAAACCGATTTTGACCAAAAGGGACACTTTTTGGACGCCATGGACGTTTCTCAGTTTCCAGGCAGAAAGAAACAGTAAAAATGCAGGCAGGGCGCCGGACAAAGCACTCGGGACACAAATGTATGTGAAATGGTTTGTTACAGTAATGTTATACTATGTGATTTTAGTGTATTAGAAAATGTCAGTTTTTAAAATTTGCAAATTTCCCGCCGGTTCCGGCCTCAGTATGTCCCGACGCTCGCAGGGAACGGAACACGGAAGATGGATGCCGACATCGGTCGGAAGAGATGGCCGGGGACGCTGCAGGGGACACATCGCGGGAGCGAAGGACAAGGTAAGCGCTGCAGGGAATCCCTGAGCAACGCCGCATGGTAAACCCGAGTGTAGCTCGGGGTTATCGCTTTTGGTACTGAAACTTTACCCCGAGCTACACTCGGGAATACCGCCAGGGGGGTTAATCCTGACAGACTCCTTCTCTTTCCTCAAATTGGTCAGGGGAGCAGCCTGTTAGGAAAAACAGGTAATGGACCACCAGTAATAGCAAGTGATCCCTAAAAATGCTCAAACCTGCTTCTCTTAGTTGGTATGGGGCCAATTTTGGGCAGCCTTAATTTTGTTGATCTGAGATTTTAGTATACTTCTCCATATCTTAGATATTTTTGCCTCCTAGAGCCCAATGAAACACTTTTTAGGGTGGAGCGTAAACCTGTATAGGTTCCTGTGTAGTGTTTAATATGGCCTGAACTTTTGACAAATGAGGGGTTGAATCTGTACTATGGATGATCACATAATCTAGGTAAGAAGCAGCATATTTTTGATGGTACCAAACCAGAGGCGGACTGACAACTCATGGGGATCATGTGGCCCTTGTGTCCTCACCCACACTCAAACCACACCCAAAAAAGCCTATGAAAAAGCTTATGAAAGGTACCAGGGGCATCTCATGGGGCCCCTTACTGACCCTGGGTCATCCTTCAGTACTGGAATGCCATCAGGGTTTACAAATGCAGTTTTCACTTTAGCTGACTCAGAGAGGAGGATCTGCCAATAGGTCCAACATGGTCATATACAGGGTTGTTCCCAGTCTGTCAGTTAAATCATCTAAATGCAATATCTCCTGCGCTCCGGGACCCAGGCCGGTGGTAAGTAGATGGAATCAAACTCCAAAAAGGAAGGGACCACCGGAATAGACAAGGTCGTGCAGCTCCACATCAAGGCTGGGGAAGCCCAATCAAAACTGTGAAGGAGAACAACAAAAGAGAAGCGCACCAACCTTGCGCATTACCTCAGTAACCAAAAATTTATTGAATAAAAGAATGGTACTCACAAACAGCGAATAAAAACAAGCATGTAAGTCCTCAAGGGGACTTTAAAGGCAAGATGCCAATGCGAATCCCGTCATGGAGGAAGCCACTCAGTACAGCTGACGCGTTTCGAAGGACGTGCCTTCTTCCTCAGAGCTGACTGGACTGAGAGTGTGTGTTCCCATTTATGCCTCCAGACTGAAATAGGGCCCTCCCCTAAGGGTTGGGCTGTCATGGGCAGGGAGGAGGGGCCTGGGTGTCAATCAATTGCAATACATGATCATCAAATTTTACATAGAACCATATAAAAACACAATATATATATACACAAAGGGAAACAAATAGTGCTAAAAAAAATGCTAAAAATTTTTTTCATTCATAAATAAATGCAGTTAGTGAATGCACTAATAAAAGTTATAAAATTCCAAAAATTCATTAGTTAACTAGTTGCAAATATTTCATCATTATTATTATTGTCATTGCACTGACGGTCAAGTGCATGAAATAAATGAAATATAGAAAAAGAGAGAGAGGACCTCTCGCAGTTGGATGACTCATTCCTGGCCAGTGATTTCACAATTGTTATCACAAAGAGGACAATGCAGCCAAAGTGTTTTGCTACACCTGGTGAGATCAATAGTGACAGTGTTGCTTTGAAAATATATATATATGATTGAACATAACTTGTAGGAGGAGAAATTATATTCATATAATCCAGCAAAGGAATAGCATCTAAAGATGGTGAGGGGGACGTAGTAAGTTCAAAACGAATCCGCATTACCTGTATTGTTGGTGTGTATTGATTGTTCAGCAGCAGAGGGAGAACTTGCCCACATGATGCGGCTATAGATGGAGTCGTTCGTGGAACGCACGCCGCTGTGGCGTGGCAGCGGAAGCGCATGCGCAGACCATCTCGCGCATGCGCACTAGGACGGCATCAGCGCGATCACAATGGCACATATCCAGTGCCCGATGCGAGCGCAAC